CTAAATGCTTTGTCTCATTACTGTTTAAAATTGTAGCTTTGCCTGCAGCATCTTAAATACGGACTAACTAATTATAGATTCATCAGGTCTTTGAGTGCAATCCTTTTTTAGGCTACAAAGGTCTTTCAGGGAATAGGACTCAATAGTGGCTTTTGATCTTATGTTAATTGCTTTAACTCTGGCTTTTGTATCAGTAATTTGGATCATCATTGTTGGTCACTGGCTGATTGGTTTTGCTTGTGTGCTTCTTTCTTGTAGGGAATGCCAGTGGCTTAGGGTTACTGTCTGGTTTAGCTACAACTTGAGTAGCTAGGGTGTTGGCTGCAGCCTGAGTGACTGGGGTAGCTGCTGATTTATCTCCCTGCCCCTTTTCCTCTGCTGCTTTACAGTATTTAGCAGTGTGCGATAAGCATACTTCAGTATCTTTGTAAACGCTCTGTAAATCATTATCACCAAGCCCAGCACAATAACTGTTTTAATCCGTGCCCCTCTACTGTAAAAGTTACGTGTTAGAGACAATAATCTTAGTGACTAGAAAGGTATTAAACCTCAAAAAAGCCTAGAGACTAGAACTACATGAAGGCTTCTACATTAAATGCCACTAGATGTATTTGTCAGGGCAAATTTGGGAGAGAACCCCCAAAGGGGTTCCTCTAGAAAAGCAGATTCAATTGGCCCCTCCCCCAACCAGTTTGGGAAAAAATACCTCCTTGGAGAAATGTGGAAAAAACTGTTTATTAAACAATAAAACCTAAACAATATTGAACAATATTAAACAATAAAACCTCTTGCTGCTCCAAAAAAGATGACAAACTCAGAAAAGTCCCTTCCCTGGGTTGCAGCTTGGCTCACTCAGTCTCTTATCAGTCCCTCCGGCGCTGGAAATGTCGCGGCCCAGGCCCAGCCCAGTGGGCCACAGGTGTGAGCTGCCGGTGCTCTTCTGGGTGTTCAGTCTAGAGCAGGTTTAAACAGGTCTAAAGAAAAGGGAAAAAACCAAACTACAGTCTCGGGAACTTCTTTCCCTCAGCTAGCTAAAACTATCTACAACAAAGGAGAGCTTTGTCCTGCTGTTTGTCCATCCGCAGACAACAACAGTCCAGGAGCAGGAATGTGGAGGAGTGAGTGCAGTGTCTGAAAACAAACTGCGCGTTTCTTCTGTCCCCTCTTCATTCTCTGGAACAAGTCTTAAAGGTGCAAAACTTATTATTCAGCATAAACAGAACAGACGACTGGGGATAAAAGCATCATACAGTTAACTCAGGACATTACAGGAACATGGCAATGGAAGTATTTGAAAAAGGAGAGAGAATCATCCAGATTCTGCTGGAAGCCAGCTTTGCTGTGAAGAAGAGTAAAGTCAAGGGACCTGCCCGAGAGATCCAGTTCCTGGGAGTAAAGTGGCAAGACGGATGGCATGAGATTCCCACTGAGGTCATCAATAAGATCACTGCAATATCTCTACTGACCAGCAAGAAGGAAACACAAGCTTTCCTAGGTGACATAAGTTTTTGGAGTTTGCACATTCCTGAGTACAGCCAGATCCTGAGCCCTCTCTACTTGGTTCCCTGCAAGAAGAACGATTTCCACTGGGGCCCTTAACAGCAGCAAGCCTTTGCCCAGATCAAGCAGGAGATCACTCATGCCATAGCCCTTGGCCCAGTCAGGCCGGGACCAGAGGTGAGGAATGTGCTTTACTCTGCAGGTGGAAACAGTGGCTTGTCCTGGAGCCTATGTCAGAAGGTGCCTGGGGAGACTCGAGACCGACCACTGGGATTCTGGAGCCGAAGTTACAGAACATCCAAAGCCAATGACACTGCCACAGAGAAGGAAATCTTGGCCGCCTATGAAGGAGTTCAAGCTGCCTCCGAGGTGACTGGCACGGAAGCACAACTCCTGGCACCCCAACTACCGGTGCTGGGGTGGTTGTTCCCTCTACCCACCACTCCACTGATGCCACATGGAGTAAATGAATTGCCCTCATCACACAGTGTGCCCATATTGGAAACCTGAATTGCCCTGGGATTTTGGAGGAAATAATTACAAACTGGCCGGAAGGTGAAAACTTTGGTCTCACTGATGAAGAGGAGCAGGAACAAGTAAGACGGGCTGAAAAAGCTCCACTGTACAACCAACTACCAGCAGAAGAAACACAATACACTCTTTTCACTGACAGTTCCTGTCACATCTCATCATAGGTATGAAAAGAAAGTGAAAAGCAGCCATATGAAGCCCCACACAACAGGCTGCACAAGCTACTGAAGGAGAAGGTGGATTGAGTCAACTTGCTGAACTCAAGGCTGTTCAGCTGGCCCCGGACATTGCTGAAAGAGAGAAGTGGCCAAAGCTCTACCTTTATACTGATTCATGGATGGTAGCCAATGCTCTGTGGGGCTGGCTGGAAAGATGGAAAAAGGCCAACTGGCAGCATAGAGGAAAACCAATTTGGGCTGCTGATGAGTGCAAAGACATTGCCACTCAGGTAGAAAGCTATCTGTGAAAGTCTGTTATGTGAATCTTCATGTCACTGAGCTAGGCAAATGAGGAGCACCAAAACAATAAGCAGGTAGACCAGGCTGCAAAGATAGAGGTGTCAAAGATAGATTTAGATTGGCAACGTAAGGGGGAGTTGTTCCTAGCTCAATGGGCCCATTATGCCGCAGGTTATCAGGGCAGAGATGCTACCTATAAGTGGGCATGAGACCAAGGGGTAGATCTAACCATGGACAGTATTTCTCAGGTCATCCATGACTGTGAGACATGTGCTGTGATCAAGCAAGCCAAGTGGGTGAAGCCCCTATGGTATGGTGGGCGATGGTCGGAATATAAGTATGCGGAAGCCTGGCAGATTGACTACATCACCCTTCCCCAAACCTGCCAAGGGAAGCGCTATGTGCTGACTCTGGTGGAAGCCACCACAGGATGGTTGGAGACCTACCCTGTGCCTCATGCCACTGCCCAGAACACCATCTTGGGCCTGGAAAACCAAGTCCTGTGGAGATATAACACCCCTAAGAGAATCGAGTTGGTCAACGGGACCCATTTCAAGAATGGCCTTATAAACACCTGTGCCAGAGAACATGGTATTGAATGGATATATCATATCCCTTATCATGCACCAGCTGCCAGGAAAGTTAAACAGTGAAATGGACTACTTAAGACTACCCTGAAGGCACTTGGCAGGGGAATCTTCATAAATTGGGAAATGAACTTAGCAAAAGCCACCTGAATGGTCAACACCCGAGGGTCCATCAATCGAGCTGGTCCTGCCCAGTCTGAGCCCTTGCACACAGTGGATGGAGATGAAGTCTCTGTGGTACATCTGAAAGGTATTTTAGAAAAGACTGTTTGAATTAGTCCCACCTCAGGCAAAGGCAAACCCATCCGTTTTGCTCAAGGACCTGGTTACACTTGGTGGATAATGCAGAAAGATGGAGAAAGCCGTTGTGTACCACAGGGAAACCTAATCTTAAGTGAGAACTGTGTGTAAGGTTACATTGTGTAGAGTTTATTGATTTGGGCATGATGCACATGGTAATAGAATAAGGGGTGGATAATGTCTTGGCTTTCAAAGGCAAGATGTGGTGGGGGATGAGTGTTCTATTGCCATCTGTTAGAGGTGGGACAGTTATCCTCTGTTAATTGGCCCACTCTTAAAACCAGGTGGGCAGTTTTCTTTATCCCTTCCACAACTAATCCTCCCTGGGGAGATATCTTCTGTTAATGAGCCACTGAGTCTCACTGCATGACTGATAAAATTACATCATCCCACTGTGAGATGCTCTGCCCGGGGGATTAACAGTTTAGTTCTAATGTGATAGCATACACACAATAATAAAGCTGCAAAGCTGCCTTACAGTAGAAAAAATGCAAATATTTTTGTCTTGATTAAATGCACGTGGAAAAACTTGTATTTGCTATTACATTATGTAGCAAAGTGAAGATTATTTTTGTAATCTTTGTAATTAATTTTGAGTTCAGCACAGGTCTGTTACTAATGTCCATTCAAGTGGACAAGGATGAACCATGTAGGTGTGTGTCTGGAATCTGGCTTGTCTTCAGATGGTAGGATTCAGGGTGGTGGATGAAAGTGATGTAGTTATTATAGTATTAGTGTTATATCACTGCATGCAGAAATTAATGCAGATAGTGAAGCCTTCTAGTGGAAGAGATACCTTTTGTGGTTTATCTGTAATACAATGTTGAGTTTAAGAAAAATATTCTTAGCAACTCTATTATACCTACTTTCAATAGCACCTGCAAAATTAAGGAATTTAAGAGGATTACCTGTCTAGGAAATGTTTTACATTTTCAAGTTCCCCTGTTGAAAGAAAAATGAAACTCTCTCAGAAGTAGGAAAGAAACTGAGGAGTGTAAGAAGTTGCATGTTTGCATTGCTTCTCACAGTTACTATTGGATTTTATTTTGTGCATTTCATATAACTTTTGTCACTTATTTTATATAATAAAGCCCTGGTGATTGCTGCACAGAATGTGGAGCTTATTTAGGGTTAGACTGCTCCAAAGACAGATAAGTAATTATTAAGTAAACCAACTAGATACTTTTAGCAGTAATTCAGAGTAATTGCTGAAATGGGCTTCTTGAGGAAAGGATAGTGGTGATGTCCTTAGTAAGAGTATCCTTGCAGATAAAGTAGAAGAGTGTGTCTGAGCAGGTTGCCAAGTGAGCCAAAAGCTTGAAGTTACTTGTACAGGGAAAGAAAATGGTCTCCTTAATTAGAAAGGATGGCAGTGTTTTGGGATACAAAATGCTTTGTTTACCATAGTGCAAAAACACAGTCATGCTGCAAGACTTCTGAGCATTAGGTTTAAGGTTTGTTCCTACATATCCAGTTCATCTTCTAATGATAGAATTCTGGGAGAAATTGGAGTAGGGCAGAAGAAACAATGTGCCATCTGGTTTTCAGCCTCCTCAAGGATAATGGGGCTAATGTGGAATGCTTATATCTTAATTGTGATATTTCTTGGCCTTGTTTCTTGCAGTTGGTAAACATGAATTAACTGGGCATAAAGTCGCAGTGAAGATCCTAAATCGACAGAAGATTCGCAGCCTTGATGTTGTAGGAAAAATCCGCAGGGAGATCCAGAACCTCAAACTCTTCCGACATCCTCATATAATTAAACTGTAAGTTTTGCTTGCTATAATCATATCTATTTAAACAGTAGTCCCTTGCTCTCACTAGTCTGAAACATGTTCAAAGGGCAATACTATTAGTGGTATACTTTAAGGAAAGTAACCAGTTTTCAACTATGTAACCATTTTTGGTGTACTCTGTAATGCATTTTCACAAAACTGATTATTCTGCAGGGCAGAGGGCTTCCATTAGTTCTTTACTTCGAAATTCTTTGGGCAGGTATAGAGAAGGTAGTGGCATGATGGATGCTTACAGTAACATCCATCTCAGTTGTTTTAGCTGCTGCTTCTGTTTTCTTTTTTCTGGTAATGTTTGAGCTTTGTTTCTGCTTGGAAACTGAGTTCAGTACAAGATTGTAAAGGGTACTTCGATAGTAAATTTGTTGTGTTTTCTTTACTCAAAATATTTTTTAGGGTTGTGTTGGTCAGTGCCCTGTTTTTTCCTGTGTATATGGTGCTCTACAAGATTTTCCTGAAATATGTGCAGTCTGTTAAATGTGATCTCATATTTCAGAGCTCTTCAATCTAGCTGTTACTGCTTAACTAAATAAATGCGATATTTACAGTGTGCCTGTTTACATTTGTTTGATCAGTAGCTCATCAACAGAGTTCAGAATGCAGTTATGTCCCAGAGTAGACACCTTGTATCTGGTCTGAGGAAATAAATTATAAATACTATTGACTTTTGTACTTTTCCTATAAAGTCAACCTGTACATCTAGCAGGGCAAATTTAGAATATGGGTGACTTTCACTGTTAATTGTGGTGTTGGAGTTAAGGTTTTCTTTATTGGCAGTCTTTTTTTTTGATCATGCTTTCACTGATATATGCCATCCCTATACACTCATTTGGCAACAGCACTTATACTGGAGCTAAATTTGATTGTGTCAGATCACACTGACTTCTTCAGTGGGTCAGTTTTCAGAAGACTATTGAGCTGATAAGTTTGGCTGCAGAGCTGCTAGTGCTGCCAGGTAGAATTCATTAATGAGTCCAAAGTATATAACTTTAGCTAAAACAAAATAGGAAGTGTAAGTGTGCCAATTGAGATATTTGGGCTGGAACAAGAATGTGTACTTCTGGTGCTGCCAAACTTCTAAGTCATCTTAACAAGTTTCAGGTTTCAATTTCTTTCTTGGGGAATTATGGGGAGAATTTTCTCTTCTGCATGCTGAGAGAAAGGTCAAGACAAAGGAGATGATGGAAAAATTGATGGGTCCCAAGCTTTTCAGTTGGTCATCTTGCATTTTCAAAACAGAAGGGTTATTAGCCTGAATGCAAATAGCATTTGAGCTATAATTGATAATGTTGTGTAGATAGACTTGCTGGTGACTTTGGATCATGATGCTTGTGCTATTAGCTGTATTAGGGAACTGCTAGGTTTTTACGAAGCAGAGCGACGCACACTCCCCAGGCAGGTGCAAAAGAGAGCTCCTTTACTGCACAAACTAGGCCTTTTTAAGCAGATGAGCTTTTCTCAGTTACATACTTTTAAAATACAACAAACATAATCCAACCAACCACCATACACCACAATGTGAACACACAATGGTTATATAACTTGTTTTTCTACCTCTAATTCAGCTGAGTCACTCCCATAGTCCTTTTCTACTTAGCCAAAGTAACAGGAGTGATCCATGATTTTATAAGGCCTTCATTTTTAAAGGTTTTACCTATCTGCAACACTAGGTAGCAGCTCAAGATACTTGGCATAAAGGTAATGAGATTATTTCAGCTGAATATTACAAATTAGACAATGTCTAATTTGGAACAGCATGCTTTATTAAAATTTTTCATACAATGCTTTATCAATATATGCAGTTGCAAAGCTGCCTCACAACGATTTTCTTTTTATACCATGCTTTAAATAAAAACCTTTGGAGCATCTCCTGTTGTGGTTTTTGACCTCTAGCAATAGAATGCATCTTGTTTTCCTATGTAAATTGCCTCTTTGTGCATTCTGGTCATCTATGCTGTGTGGTTTGATAACCTTACTTATAGGTATGTAACTGTCGGGTCCGGCTGTCTGTCACTGCCCCGACACAGGTAGGGTGGTGTAGAGAGCTTCTTGGATAATTGGTTAGCTGAGAAAGGACATTTCGATGTGATACCAATGGATAAGGATAGGGGAAACAAGCTGGGAACTGAGCAACCAGTGTCCAATCACTGACAAAGGTCACAGTGACCTTCCCTGAAACGGGAAGACGGGGGAGAAAATCGCTTGCCAGAAAATGTAGTTATCTTAGGTAGAGAAGTTAGAGGAATGTAAACATAGAAGCAAAATAATTGTTAGAAGATAGAAGTAGGTGTGGTTGATCTAAGTGTGCTTTAACCAATAATGAGCTCAGCTTTTGCAATATGTATAAGCTTCATTAACACCAATATAAATATGGGTGAGCTTTCAATAAACTTCGGGATTTGCTATTCACGCATATTGTGTGTCGCATTTCTCCCGCCGTTCACGACAGGGTGGTTCTTGGGTGGCACGTGTTTCAAAGGATGAGTCTGGACTCTTCAGCTTTTCGGTCTTCAGATTGTTTATTGTTTCTTATCTACAAAATTTTCTGTCTGCCCAACAGAGGTCTGATCTGCAAGGCAGCCACAGGCACTCTGACCACCCATGGGGCGGTCATATCTTTTTATACTAAAATCTACGTACATAATATTTACCTTTGTTTCCCAATACTTTTCACCCATGTTAGCAAGTGCACCTTCACCATAAACCAATCCCCAAGTGCCAACATCACCACAGGAGATGGAGGACAAGAAGAAGAAAGAAGAAGGACGAGACACGCCCTGATCCCTCCATCTTGTCTCCATAACCCCCCTGTACCAAAAACCTTGAGGTTTATATTTCACCCTCTAAATGTGTCCCTTTTGCACCCTTCACTCTAAAGTGATTCTCATGTCCTCAAACTCTTGTCACTTCTGTGGATGGATCAAAATCAAGCTACCAAACACTCCTGGCAACATTCCAGGATTTCCGAGACCCCCAAGGGTTCTCCTGGCATCTCTGGACATCGGGAACGATGTGCTGAGTTCCCACATCTCCCCCTTCTGTTTGCACCAAGAAGACTTCTTTGGCAACTTGACTCATGACACGTCTCACACATAAAAAGATGCATGGGACCATGAGCATGAGGACTAAGAGTATTATTAAAATATAAAATCCCATTTTTAAAAACCCTCTCCATAAGGGAGAAAGATCAAAAAATCCCGCCACATCATCAATCCATGACCCAGTGATTTCGCCTAGTTTCTTTATACTGTCTTTTATATTTTGAATACTTTCATGAATTGATCTCGAATGATCCGAGAGATTCATGCAGCACATTCCCTCAAACTCTTCACATCCATGTCCATGAGCAAGCAATATATAATCGATTGCTGCCCTATTTTGAAGAGTTGCCTCTCTCACACTACTTATGTCTTTTAACATATCACTCAAAGTGAGAGAGACTGATTGAGCATGCTTGCTCAACCAACAACCCATGTGGTCCAGTTGAGTCAAGGCCACCCCCGACGCTGTCTGAGGTGAGAAAATTGCTGCCGCAATTCTCCTTGCCTTGTCCCAGGTGTACACTTCATCATCACAGTCTGCACTGAAATGTTGCAAGGACCTTTTCTCTTTATGTTTTTGCTCTCTCAATACTTTCAAATCTGGTGATAACATTGAAATCCTCCCAATGCTGCATGGACCTCCCTTGGCATTTGCAGGAATGCCGTGCCAAATTCTGTCCTCACAAATTAAAAACAACCCACGTGGCAATTGCACTGGGACCTGGATTGATCCTTTGGCTGTCGTCACGGTGTGATTGCACCAAGCTGATGCGTTTCTATAATATTCGTGATTTGGTGTGACATCAATGCTGTTGTTTGTCCTTGACACATTCGAAATTTCGAATTTCATGCATAGTTCCATTGTTGTGGACCCGAAAATTTCCAATTCCTGCGGTTCAGTAGAAGCCACAGGTAAAAGATGTGTCCAAGCACACCATTCATTCACAGGATCTTTGATGACCTGCGAAATCTCCATTGGAGAATGCCCTGGAATTGGCCATTTGTCCACTGGCAACCCAACCATGCATGCTGTGAATGGTTTCCCTGGTTTCGAATGTCAGGCAGATACTTTCTAAATTTGCTGCCTGGGCTAACGTTTCCCAAACATTTTGTTTTGGTTGACTGATGGGTAGATTTGCTCCATTGCTTAAAGCAACAGATGAAAGCATGAGCATCATGAAGCTCATGACTTCACCCTTATGAAAAATCATTGTCATGCTTCCACTCAAAGCCACAAAGGAAAAACCCCCCAAAGTTTTTATTCTTTTTGTCCCTCTTCTGAGTCGTTGTTCACAACTTGAGTTTCTTCTTCTGTCTGCGTGCTCGTTTCTCTGCCTCTGGGATCTGTGCTCTCTTGCTCTCTTGTCCGAAATGGCTTCACGTGCTGCGCTGACACCCACTTCAGCCCTCGCCCTGTGGAAACACAAGCGAAACCCTTGCCCCAAGTGATTAGTTTGAAAGGACCCTCTATTTGTCCTGTCTCTGGGTTTCTGATCAAAGCCAAAGGATTCTCCCTTAGTTTTGCCTGAGAGCTGTTTGAAAAATGCCTCACGATTGGTGGATTGGGTTCAGAAGACGAACTGTTAAGAAAATTCAACACATACAATGCTTTGTTTAACTTCATGTGTGGTGTCGCCTCTGGCTCCCCCCTTTTCTGCCTGTCCAAAAGGGATTTCAGGGTGTGATGTGTTCTTTCAATGATTGCCTGACCTGTGGGTGAATGTGGAATGCCAAATGTGTCTGACACCCCATCTTTTCAGGAATCTGTCAAGCACCCTGCCTGTATATGTTGGACCATTATCTGTTTTTATTTCTTGAGGCACACCTAATGATGCAAACGCTTGTAAAAAATGTCGACAAGCATGTTCTGCTGTTTCCCCTGCATGTGCTGAAGCAAAGACTGCCCCTGAGAATGTATCTACTGATACATGA